GATAATTTATTTGGGATTAATCTCCAAACCTTGCTATTTTTTCCTAATTTTCGTAGTCTATTATTTTGTGCTGGCAGACACTCACAGTTTTTTTTTATTTCTGCATCCTTTTGTTTTCTCTTTTGAAATGATTCCATGTAAATGGTAAGGTTTCGATGAAAAGATGCAGCATTCCTTCCTAAACTTTTTTACAAGACTCATTAATAAAATCTGTCTTGGCAAATAAATCTACCTGCCAATCAGTATGGAGCATAAAAGTAACATGGTGTAATCGAAGTAGGGTTAATACATCACAAATTATATTGTCGGCTCACAGCTGTTCAGTTAAAGGGCATTTTATCCTAAGAACCCTATCGTAGGTATTTTATTAGTTCCGAATTAGAATAATCGACATCTGTTAAATGTTCTTTTATGGCTTTTTGAGCGTAAAGTTATTTATCAAGTTATATCTATCAAATTTAGGCCTCGTCCTTTAAACGCGTCACTGGCAGAAACTTTCGTCGAAACATGTCGCCAGATGATTCCTCTGATTGCTCCGGCTTTTCAAAACAATCTTCTGATTCGGATCGAGGCAATAGTAGATCTAAGAAACGTGGTGTAGCTTCTGCTCTAATACGAGGCCCAGGCCTCAGGGACCGCTTCGAGGCCAGCAAAGCTACCCATTTGGGCGTTATAAAGCCCCCGGCTGCCAGGACAATGAGGTCGAATAAGCTAGAAGTAGACATTGACTTAACTCGTAATTCCTCGAATACCAGGGCTTCCCAATCCTCTCTTGTTGCTTCGAGCCGTAGCCGCCGTGGTCGCAGATCTTCGCTAGGCATTGACGCCAACTTGCCTACAGCCAAGTCACCAAATGGCCATCATTACACGCGACTACGCAAGTGACGTACACCACAGTCAACCGGCTCAAATATATCTGAAATTTCTCTTCGTTCTGCTGATTTGCTGCGAAACTAGATGGAAAAAGCCTTTCCTTATCTCGTCCTCTCTCTTATACATATGTGTAAAATATGTTTCTTATGGTTGTACATTTTTACATTGAATTTTATTGCTAGTCCTATGAATGTAAAAGGATAATTCCCTGTTTGTTTTTTACACCATTCGCGCATATTATAAATAGACGACTATTTGTTGGATATTCTACGATAGCGTGAATCTTCAGACGGTACCCAAATGAGGATTTTTATTTGTATTAGGCCATTTGGCAATCGTGAAGTTTTTTTTCACCTACATTCGGTCAAGGTGTCCTGTGAAAATCTGAATATATTGGCCTCTATTTTTAGTCACGATTGTTACTCATCCGCTTTCAGGTGACTCTTCGTAGTCACTTTATTGACAATCTCGTCGTGCATCCAAACGAGCTGGTTGGCTTATCTGTTTTGTTTCTTTCTATGCAAAATATATTAATCGTTCATTTAAAATGTGAGGTGTATACTTTGTTTTTTCTTTTCCTATTAAATAGCAGTTAATTAGTATTCGACTAATTATCAGGATATATAAGCCCGCTTGGGTTGCTTTACGATGCAAAATCTCCTTATTTGACTTTTTATCTTAATTGTAGTGAAAGTTTCCTGTGATTTTATCCAGTCGAACAAAAGAGTTATTGATAGCCAATAAAATTAGCCATTTGAAGAGCCTTACTCTTGCTATTCTCTACGAAAATATTTCCATCCGAGGCGTAGCTGTTAATAAAGAAGTGAGGATTCTGTTCTTTATCACCTTGTCTGTGGAGTTCGCCTCGTTGCATCTATAACTTCCCCAGATGTAGCAAATGATGTAAAATGTGTGCATTTCTCAGAAGAGACGCGCCATACTACTAGCCCCTTTCCAAAGGTCAGCAAAAGTGATTTTTTAGATAAAGTATTCAGGATTTCAAAAATATATTGGTCTACACAGCATCTAGAAAGGGTAATGACGGTTGTGACACCTACTAAATTGTCCATATAAAAATTAAAAAGCTTCTTTTGCCAGGCGATACAGAAAAAAGCGAAATCTATTACGTGTGCGCGTGTATGCTTAGATGCCTATTATATATGTCTAAGCATCCTCGGCAAGTACAGCATAGAGCGCATGTTTTGAGTCGATTAGGTGGTGTGAAAGACGTGGGTATTTCAGTAGGCAAAACTAGTCACCTTAACTGGTGGCTAATGGTGGAAATATGAGGTCTGTGAATTCGTACAGGCGTTCGTAGGTGATCCTTTCAATCTCATAAGTTCTCTTCGCATCTGTCTGGTTTGATCCCGT